ACTATTGAATATCCAAACAGCCCAACATGCCTTTCTTCTGCAAGAAATCCCTCAACTATTGATTTGGTCTTAACTGATTTATGTCGACTTTGTAGCCAATTGGTTATTCATGGTGACTTCGGTTCTGATCACCTTCCAGTAACTTTTGAAATACCCCAAGAAATAATTTGTAATCCCAACAGCTCTACTTTCAATTACCATAGAGCTGATTGGGAGCAATATAGAACATTAATGGAATATAACTTCGATCCAAACATTCCTTTGCAAACCAAAGATGAAATTAATTATGCTCTTGAATCTCTGACTACTTCTATAGTTGCAGCAAGAGCTGCCTCAGTACCAAAATGCGAGGTTAAATTCGATTCAATTATAATAGACGACGATCTTCAGCTCTAGATCCGTCTTAAAAATGTCCGTTGGAGACAATATCAAAGAACACGCGATCCTGCCATAAAAGTTATCTGGCGGGATTTGCAAAACAAATTAAAAAACAATTCTCTGCACTGAGGAACAAAACTTTTGAAAATAACGTTTTTAAATTAGACCCGAGTTCCAAACCCTTTTGGAGACCCACAAAAATTTTGAAAAAAAAAACCTCAAAAGCCTATTCCAGCGCTTAAAGAAGGTGGTAGAATTTTGATCACAAATTTGGAAAAAGCTCAGAAACTTGCTAAGCAATTCGAGAGTTCCCATAATTACAGTTCGGGTCTTACTAGTCCTATTGAGAATCAGGTTGCTCGGGATTATCTGAATATTTTCTCTCGGGAAAATATTTTTGATGATTTCTTGGGGGGCTGATTTGGACGAAGTAAGATCTATAACTAAAAAGTTTCCTAATATGAAAGCTCCAGGTGATGATGGAATTTTCTATATCCTCATCAAAAAACTCCCAGAAAGTACCTTGTCTTTCTTGGTAAAATTATTTAACAGATGTTTCCATTTGACATACTTTCCTGATAAATGGAAAAATGCAAAAATTGTTCCAATTTTGAAGCCGGATAAAAATCCAGCTGAAGCTTCTAGCTACCGTCCAATAAGTTTGCTTTCTTCAATAAGTAAACTTTTTGAAAAGATAATTTTAAATAGAATGATGCTTCACATCAATACGAACTCAATTTTTGCAGATGAGCAGTTTGGATTTCGCCATGGACATTCAACTACTCATCAACTCTTAAGAGTTACCAATTTAATTCGTTAAAACAAATCTGAAGGCCACTCAACTGGAGTTGCTCTTCTAGACATAGAAAAAGCATTGGACAGTGTTTGGCATGAAGGTTTTATTGCTAAATTGAAAAAGTTTAATTTTCCACGTTATATTATGAAATTAGTTCAAAATTATTTAACTGACAGAACTCTGCAGGTAAATTATCAAAATTCCGAATCTAATGTACTACCTGCTAGAGCAGGAGTTCCTCAGGGTAGCATTCTTGGGCCTATATTGTATAACATTTTCACTTCGGACCTCAGGGTTGCCACAAATCTTTGTTCGCCGATGACACAGGCATTTCCGCTAAAGGAAGAAGTCTTCGTGTTATTTGCAGCAGACTGCAGAAAAGTTTAGATATTTTCTCTTCTTATTTACAATAATGGAAGATTTCTCCCAACGCTTCCAAAACTCAACTTATAATAGTTCCACATAAACCTAGAGCTTCCTTTTTGAAACCTAGTAGTAGTCACATAGACACTATGAACGGAGTTACAATTTCCTGGTCAAACCAAGTGAAATATCTTGGATTAATACTTGACCAAAAATTAACTTTTAAAGATCACATTAAGGGCATTCAACCCAAATGTAACAAATATATAACATGTTTGTATCCTCTTATAAACAGGAAATCCAAACTTTGCCTGACGAATAAACTTCTAATATTTAAACAAGTTTTTAGACCGGCCATGCTTTACGCTGTGCCAATATGGTCTAGTTGTTGCACTACCAGGAAAAAAGCACTTCAAAGGATTCAGAACAAAGTTTTGAAGATGGTTTTGAAGTTGCCTCCCTGGTATAGTACTACCGAAGTACATAGAATTTCGAATGTTGAGACTTTAGAACAAATGTCCAACAAAATAATTAATAACTTCAGGCAAAAATCGTTGCAATCCTCAATTGCAACGATTAATTTCCTTTACATTTAGATAAGATTTAGTTTTAGTTTTTAGTTTTAAGATTTCAATTGTTTTACTGACATGCAGGTTTAAAAAACCTGTTTAAAATACTGAATTGCCAAGGCAGGAACAATGTAAAAACAATTAGATATATAACATAGCAATTAAGGCTGGTAAGTTAACTGGAGCACCTAGGTTAAAATGAAATGTAATTTATTTTGAATATGGAACAAATAAAGGGTTAAAAAATAGATAAAATTGATAAATAGCAGATTTTTAGCGATGGGCCCAATCTAAGATCCATACGCCAACATTTGAGCCATTTCCCCTACCTACCGGATTGCAAATGCCAAGGTTCTAATGTTTGATGAAAATAGAAAATTAAAAAGCATTTATCTTGAATTTATTTTCCTTGATATCTTGGACTAACTAACTTTCAAGATCACGGAGTTAGATATAAAATCAAGATTAAAGTCTCAAATTTAACTTTAATTCCAATTGAAAGGAATGAACTCCAAACTTGTTTGATTGTGCCCCTGAAGATCTTAGAAGTTTGCTGAACTATTTTTAGATCTTCTACAAACCTTACACTTATATGAAGTGTTATGCAACTTTTTAAAAATGCTACGAAATTCCCAAAACTTCTACAAAGTGTGCTGCACTTGTACGTTACTCTTTGATTTTCCGCGAAGTTCCACTTATGGAATTTCTTAAACTTTTGCGTAATTCCCTGACCTATTCCAAGCTCATGAGGCATCACAAAAGTATCCTGAAATTATATGAAAATCCACGAACAATAATGAGGCTGTTGTTTAACTTCTACTAAGATCTCAAATCTTAAATAGAGTTCTCCGAAGTTTTCAGAACTTTTTCAAAGCACCCTGAGTTTCTACGAATGTGTCTGAAGCTCTATGAAGTTCTACGATGTTCTCTAAACTTCTTGAAGTTTTACGAAGTTTCCTAAAAAATCCCTAAACCCATGGCCAATTTGTAGAGCCTGAAGACGTCTTATTATGCTATCGATTAAATGTCGATATAATATAAATTCTCGAGATGGTTTCTTCTAGTCCAAAACATTAAGAAAAGTAGACAGTCATAAAAATGAATAAAAATAATAAGTAACTTCGAAACTGCTTGAAACAAAACCGGTATCTAAAAAAAATCTGAAATTCCGTATTGCTGAAGAATGTATTAACGTTGGGTACTGTTTATCCGTGATTTACTGGATTGCTTCCAGACATTCGTTTTGTTGGAGTACGAAATTAAATTTGGTTATGCAGATTTTGCAATTCTTATCAATGTTTTTAAATATGTTTATTATTTTTTTTCTCGATTCGTTATTGTTGTTATGTTTTTCTCATTTTTCCAGTTGCAAATCTAGAATGAACCATGAACAGAAACCTCATATTCGAAATAAATTATCGTATGGTTATCGTAGATTATGGCAAACATCCACAACCATCCAATTAACAAACGTCAGTATGGTTAACGTATTTATGGCTAACGACTACTCTGCTATCTGGCTGCCAAGATATCCGAAACTTAGTTCGTTCTCCACTCCACATGAAAAAGTTATTATTGATAAACTTGTAGAAAAAATTCCTACACTTCGGTTCCTTCGGCACTCCAAGAACAGATAAGGTCTAAACATCGAATTTAAACAGCGTACTAGTACTAAGGTTTACATAAAAAATAAACATGAATCCTGATAAACGTGGGCGCCTATAGTGGAATTCCTGTATAAAGAAAAAGAGAAGGATTAATAATTTCCATTCAATTCCACTACCTTAATTAAATTACTTATTCTTCTCTTTACTTTATAAAACAAACAAAAAACATACTAAAGAGCAACTAAACTGGCTTATAAGAATTTCCAGAAGCACATATAGAGCAAATGGGTCGAGTTGACCTTTCCCTGACATACCGGTAAAACACCAACACCTGTCTTGCCCTCTATGAAAGCTACGAAAGCATGTGTATTATCCACAGGTTAACCACTGAACTGAAAGTACAATGTCGGTGAAAATGGGTTCCTGCTTAACAAAAAACAAAAATGTAATAATAACTGGATAATAGCTATAGACGCATTAAATATCAGAAGCACAGTCACATGTGAAGGTAGCAATCAAGAAACCATTTCACCATCATCACCTTCTTTTTTCATGGCGGATTAATGAGTCAAACGGGAGGTCTATTTTTGCACAGAAAAAACGTTTATCAAAGATATACTGACTTAATTAAAATTCAATCAAAATCTTTTTTAGCTATGACATTTGACAGCAAGAAAATAAATAATCCATATACCAATAGCAATCCCAATCACGCCGCTGGATTAGCAACGCTTCCAGTTTCATGACGACTATTGCTCCTTCCAAATAGGTGGGTGATATCCATAATCATAATCAAGTTTCCGTCTCGCCACCTCACGGGTACTTCAAGCGTGTACATACCGAAGGATTTTTGTGTAATTCTCATTTGGGTTCTGCTAGTAACGTACGTACCTACATACAGACAAAACATTTTGATGGCATTTCAACCCATTCGAAAGGTGAAAGAGCAAACCACGCGCTCTTTCAGCTATATTTCCCATGTCGTTTCGTGACGGTTCAAATGAAGAGATGGGTTGAGAGCGATCTGGGAGGCCTCCAAGGGGACATTTACCATCGTAACTAAGTTGAGTAGATGATACAGTATGTGCAATCACTGAAATTAATACCACGCGTACACTGAATTGACCTAGCGGAGCTTGAAGCGGAGGGGCTTTAATCAAGCTAAATTGAGCAGTCATATGATAATTTGATTTAGCAATCACAAAGCTCTTTGTTTATTTATTAAATGTAGATCTGACTGATCGTAGCTAATGCGCAAAAAATGTCTTTCTCACATTTTCTTCACAGCCATAGCCGAATCGTAATTCCCGGCACAACACAGCACAACACACTCCGCAAAAATGCACTCAGTTGGCATACATTCGGCGCTGGCCATCAAACGGCAGCGGAAGCGGCGGGACAATCAGCGCAAAGCCCGCGAACGGCGCTACAGTGTGCAGAGCTCCGAGAGTGGCGATACGCACTCGCCCCATGGCTCGACACGCCGGAAGTTCCACCCGCATAAGGTGCACACCGCCGACAACAATAATCTGTTAGATACGAAAGTGAGTATTCGACATACATATCCAACACATTAGCTCCGTTGTGTGCTTACCGGGGAATCATCCATTCCATCAATCACCGGTGATCAGTTATTGCGACTTTCCTCAGGTTTTTCTTCGTTCTTCTATCATTCGTAGGTAGTCACAAGCATTGGTATGCTACACATAGGCGTGGTATTCCTAGTGTTCGGAATCTTTTTACTAGGAGCTGGATTTTTTCCAGATAATCTATCAAATCAACCGTCACAATCGTGGCACCTACTGGGTAAGTGATTACGAATGTCAACAACATCCTAAACCATCTTCCGTGAAGAGGCTGTTGAATGGGGTGCTGTCAGTTTGCGTGTCAAAAGAATATTAAGAAGTTCGTTTGGAGAAAGTACCTACATTCACAGCTGATTCAATTTATGAGCAACAAATGTTTTCCAAAGGTAGTCAGCTGTCAAGAATTGGAAAGAGACAAATCATCAGCATGCACTGAAACGGAATGTTGGAAAAACTTGATTTGACCAACTTAAAAAAAAAAAACACTTGATTGCAAGTATCATTTTGTGGAACTATTACAATTACTTCTAAGATATACTTCCATATATATTATTGCTTAACCAGTAAAATTCGGAATTGGTTATTTTTTGAAAAAAAAAAACGCTGGTTCCTGAAGGCTATTCAATCCATTTGAAGAAACCTATGATTCATAATCGAAATGATTAAAAGAACTAACAATTGCTCTCCCTATGATAATATGATAATACACTCTATTTCGATGTTGCTCTCATGCAGAAGTTTTAATACCTCCTGATTTTATTTTTTTTTTATTTTGGTGATTTTGTGGAACAAGTTGCATTGAGTTTAGCTGCAAATTGAGATCATACGATTGATGGGTCGATAGGTAGGGTATAGGGGCCACATTGCGCAACTCGAAACGAAAGGGTTTTTGTATGAACGCTTGTATGAAAAAGTTTTTCGTTTCGAGATGCGTAATGTGGCCCCAGGTATGGGAGCTGCCTGGCGTCGGTAGCATTGGTGCTCAGCACGGAAAACAAGATCGACGGAAAACAAATCAAGAAAAAAAAGAGATCACATGATCATCAAAAATTGAGGCGAAAAAACATAGCGTAAAATAAAATTGAGTGTATTTAGGGGAAATGGCTTTTATTTTTGCCTATACACACTTAGAAAAAATATCGACTTCGGTAATTCATTTATCTGTTGAGAATTCGGTAAATGAATTAACGAAGTCGGTATTTTGTTCTAAGCGTGTATAGGCAAAAATAAAAGCCATTTCCCCTAAATACACTTGGTTGGTAATGTTTTCGGTAATTGAGAACATTACCGAAAAACCTGTAAACTGGATCAGCAAAATTAGTTGTCAAATTAGCCGAACGATCGGTAATGTTTACCGAAAAAACAAGCTTGATTTGTAGTCGACTTTACCGACTTTAGATCTATAGGCCAATATTAGAGCCATTTCCCCTAGTGCAACTAATATAAACTCATAGAAGTTACACTCTTAAATTTTTTCGCCGAGATTCCAACAGCCGAGCAGATCTGCAATTTAGTTTGCTGATATTTAGTAAAACAATTGCCGAGACTCAGCTAACAAATAACATTTTGCTGAGATATCTGCTAACAAACAGATATTTTGTAGAGATATCAGCAAAAGTAAATGCCGGCTGTTGGAGATTTTACCGAGCTAGATTAAGTGTGTAGTACGTTATCCTCACATCCAAGATGACAGAGTAAAGCGTAGATTACAATGAAGAATTATTAATCATGCTGCTACGGACCTGGAAGCCTTGGTTTTTTACGCACCACACTTCCCAAAATATGCCCTATTTCAATATATCATTTACCTCCCTCTGCTAAACTTATTACCGTTTCCATTTCTCTTCCCCGCTGCCACCACAAACAACAGGAAAAGGTTCCTGGTGGAACGAACTGATATGCACGGGATTGTTCGCCGTCGGTCTTGGCATCTTTCTAATCATATTAAACTGTGTGATAAGCAATCGGGAGGAACAGGACCTCGAGAGCTACGTCCAACGGCAGCTGACCCGATCGAGATCCGGTAAGTCATCACACTTTATCTCACTTTATCGGCTCCCCATATTGAGGTGCTCACTCCAGAAGGCAGCGGAATTTGTCACATACGAACAAGGTTGGAAATCGATAAATTACTATCATCAAATGGAGCGGATTTTCGTGTTTTCGTGCGAAAAGAAAAAGACGTCATTTGTTCGTAGCGTTGAGTCATAGAACCGTGTAGCGACGTTTCTTTGTCATAATTTACGAAAATATGGTCCAGAAGAAAAGGTGAATCTGGTGTGAGCATGCAAGCAAAATCCCATTAGGAGATTTTTATTTTTTTATCACCTCCATCCACCACGGGTCACTCTAGCTGGCTGACCGACAACGTCGATTTTGTTAGAGGCCAAAGGCATATCTAGATAATCGACTGGTAAAAGGCAGAAAAGATTGACCTGACTGTGTTTGTGAGTGTCTGCTCGAGCAGGCCCACCCACCGGGCCGGTCCGATCGATATTATTTTTCATCACATCAATTTTTCATCCACGGTTAAACTACACCATCCGTAAAAGAACGAAGTGCTATTAGAGAGGTCTCTTGCAACATGAAACTCCGTCTCTGATCGCAATATCCACAACTTTCCAGACGCCGGATCTCTGGCGAAAGTTATTGGCACATTGAGAGAACGTTCGGAAATTGATAAGATAGGCCACTCGGGTTCTCCGTTTAGGGGAATCTCCGTGTACTCTTCCAACGTTTTCTGAGCGGCATTTCTTTGAAGATGCTAAGCAGAAATGAAGCCGTCGTTTTCGCTAAAGGGAAGTGTGCCGAGCAGGGATTGTAGATAACCCCAAATCATTGCTGTTAAAATATGCATAAAGATGGTCCAGCCTGAGGAAATGAAAATGTCTTATCGATTATCCTCAAACTTTACCAAACTTTAGATCTCTAGAATGTCTCAATTTACACTATTATCTGCGCTCGAAATCGTAAGTGATAGAATTGAAAATCAGAAAGGTTTTACTGGGTTTTTGAACTGTTGAACTGTTCGGTAAAAGTTTAAAAATCTGAGGAAAATTCAAAAATGAGAATATTTATTATATATTATTAGGTGTCCGGCCATTTTACCGAATTCAATTTCGTCGAATGCTGTTTGGCCGAACATTATCCGAATGTCGTTTGGCCGAATACTTGAAACAGTTTTCCAATTTTCGAACACTACTAGATTCCTAAATGGCAGCCCAAATAACGATCCATAGCTGAAATTCACTACACTATCCCTCGCATATCCGACACTCGACAATCCGACGACTCGAAAATCTGGACCCCATTAATTCGGAAAATGCTGGATTGAAAAATATTAACACGCATTTGTATACAAAGTGCTGTCAGTTTTCAGATTTATGCTGTAGGCATGCTGTATGTTTGTTTTGATTTTTAGTAAAACCGGATAATCTGACCATGATTTTGTCGGATGATACTGTATAATAAAGTAAAACAGTATTGATGCAAATTTCCATAAACTGTGTAACCCTCCAATTTTTTTAAATGTCCTATATGCTTCTTTTAAAAGTTTCTGTTAGAAGCTTCTTTTATAAGCAAGTTTCATAAACAGCTTCTAACAGAAACTTTTTTTAGTAGCTTCCAACGGCATTCGGCCAAATGTCCCGGAACCTATTATTATGAGTATTATTATTACTATTATTATTACTTGTACTTGTAGACCCCATTTAATGATAAAAAATAAAATTTGTCGATTTTCATTTGAATTTTCAGCAATTCAAAAATCCAGTAAAAAAAAACTGACTCCTGTAAAATAATTGTATGAGTAGTGTATACTAAGTCATTCCATAGCAAAACGAAATAGGATAAATGACGGCTTTGGCAATACCTTAACCTATTATCGTCCTTAAGAGCTCAATTTTGGCATGTGGATACATTGTGTTTTAGAGTACCTATTGGCAAAATTTTAGTGCTCTAGGACTTTTTTTTACCCCGCTGACGATAATAGGTTAAGGTGTTGCCGAAGCTGACATTTCCCCTAGTGGTTCTCAGAAATTCGTAAAAATTGGTAGATTTGTTCCTTAACGCAATGTATTAGACCTGAATAGAATATATACGAGTTTAAAATTTTGAGATAAAAACAAAACTACCTATTTCTACGGAATTCTGATAGCCATTATATCATTTTGGTATGTAATGGCTGTATTGTGACACAAGTTAAATGCTAAGGGAAGTCGAAAAAATATCCAATCCGAAAAAAATCCTTGAATCGAACCGCTTACCTACGGAAATTTTCTCTAAAATAAGATTCAAATTAAATTAAATATGGATCAGCTTTCTTATTTTTATAAAATTTTGCATTTATTGGATCATAATTAATCAGGTACCACGATCGCTAATTAAGTTCACCAAATTCTATTTCTCACTGATTATTAGCCATCAATGTCTTAACCAGTTGCTGCAGTTTATCCGCAGGTTGCTGCTTCAAATCCTGTTCATCTTCTGTGGATTCCATAAATGCTTTCTTCAATTCCTCGATGGCTTCCATCGCCAATGGTTTCCGAATCGCTGCCACCTTCTGTTCAGATTGATCCGGAACGTGAGGAACTTCAGGAAGAGCAGGCAAGTTTGCGTTTATGTCTCCCATCTGCGTCAATATGGCCACCAAAACATTAACGATATTGGTGTCGATATCGGTTTGAATGTTCGCGTCCAGGTTGATTCCTACTGTGACAATGTCTCCGACGTTGTTGTCACTGACCGAAATTGGTCCACCGAAAACTGCTCCTGCGCCGAGCAGTGCAATCAGGGTGAGTGCGATCAGGGAGTTCATGGTTGGAGTAGCTTTAACAACGAGTAAACAGTTCGATTGCTTTTCGAATGGTTGTTTGACCAGGTTTGAGTATGGCCGTGGAAATCTCGAATATTTAAGGAAAACTGTGAGCTGATAACGACTTACTGGTTATTGACAGGTGTGGATTAACAATAGAAGGGATTACTCTCTTCTTATCAGTGGAATGAGTTATCGGTGATAAAATAATAAAACCAAATGAGATAGGATGTCGCATTGATAAAAAGCATAAAAATTTTCCATTAGTCATACAATAAACACGTTTGAATCACTTATAACTAATTTAACAGAAAGCGAGAATTAGCTTTAAAGAATATTGTGTTCTTTTTAATTGGTATATGCTCTGAAGGGTGATGTCTGCAAATGAATCCAGTGATGACCCAATTTTGTGAGCCCCCTTTGGGAATCTTTTGTTATGTTTTATGAAACCCATGCGCTTTATCAGTGGCCTTGGTGCACCAAAGATTTGCTTAAACACCCATCTTGACGATGAATGATTTGGCTAGATATGTAGCTGGTGAGTTTTGTTAGCATGATATTCCTAGCTACGATTTCACGGCTTGTAATATAATCCACAAATTCTTACTTATTGATTTTTTCCACGAAAATCAAGTGTGATCTTGGGGATTGGTGATATTGGATTTTTTTATATTTTCCCAACATTGCTCAGGATTTTAGAAAAAAATCTAAGTAGGATTCAAAGGAAATTTGTAGAAGAGTTTCGAAGGTTATGATGTTTATGGAAAATAGGCAAAGGAAAAAGATAAATACGTTAAGTTAGTTAAAACACGATGTAGTAAACGCACTATGTGTTAATGTAGACAATACAAAAAAAATCAGGGTAATTACGCGATAAGTTTAAGGAGAATTTCACAATAATTAGTTTAAAGAGAATTTCACAATAATTATAAGGAAATTCTGAGTTTAATACCATGGAGATTCTGAAAAAAATGCATGGTAATTGTGATTTCGAACCGAGAAAAAAACACCTCGCAAATACGGTCCTTGTTTCACATGTTTTTCCAATGTCCGGTTTCTTCGATATTTTCCTTATGGCCATTCACACCACATCTGGACCGGAGCAGGAAATACTACTTGTGCTATTGCTGAGTAATTTAATCCTTAAAAATTGCAAATAACTGAAGGGAATCATGAATCACAAAGTGCAAGTCTTTTTTTCTGGTAAAGACTCGCTCTCCTTAGCTAATTGATTCTGAAACTCTGGCGTAAATATTTATTCAAATATTTTAAGAGCTGTTAAGAATTTTAAATGTATGTATCATATATAAATCATTAAAATATTTCGTAGATATATGTTTCCGAACCTGAGCAAAGCTACTGTTTATCAATCTACGGGCTGTGAGCACCAGGTTTCTTCATAAGGCCAATAATATGTTAGCGCTTCGCTAGCCATTTAGGTGTTTTACGATCAACTTTTTACCACGTTGATTTAGATTTGTGTTTGGAACGATCTAAATCTTCTAATATGTAATATTGATATTATTTTGGCAAATCATGACAAAAAAGCAATCTACAATATGGATGACTAAAAATTTAATAAATATAACCTAAAAGTACGTTCAGACTACAGAGTTATAACATGTTTTAGCACTATCTTGATGGTGGTTTCTGTGTTGCAATTATTTGACAACCGTTATAACATGTTATAACTCTCCAGTCTGGACAGCTTTTAACCTTCAAATAAATGATAAAAAAAAGGACAAGCCACACAGCAAAAAAATAATTTTGATATCACGTCAAAGTGGATGCACTACAATCATGTCGAAAATATAGTGTAATATTACTTGCTAAAAAGGACAAAATTATCATTAATACAATGCATGAACTGACATTACGCTGCTTTTACTGCATTTGTTTATTTATATGGTCATAAAAATTACATGAAATTTTTGACATGATTGTAGTGCATCCACTTTGATGTGATATCAAAATTATTTTTTTGCTGTGCATAAATTAAGTGACCGTGTAGGTTTATTATTTTTCCCGGTTTTCCCTTCAAATTTCTGGTTATATCCCGATTATCCCTGTTTTCCCGGTTCACTGGCCACCCGCTCAGAATTGTTCATGTTTTAAGGGGTTACGCCTACCTGCAAACTTTCAAAAAATCAATTTTTTTATTGTCCTAATCGAAAGTATATAAAGTCTAGAATATTTCCTCAAAAGATCAA